AATGTGTAAAGTTGTGCTAGGGCAACTGGGACATTAATGGTGTCATAATTCAGTGCAATAATGGATCATGGAAAAGTAAGCACTTTCTTCCAGTAAAGAATTATAACAGTTTGCATTTCACTAAGAACCACAGACTGTTATGAAGACATTCAAATTGTTTAACAAATGTACTTGTGAAGTGTTTGATGCTTGGGATGAACGTTTGGCATCATCTTCACCCCCAAAAATAAAAAAAATAAAATATATATATATATATATATATATATATATATATATATATAATCTTTACACAAATGGGAGAATAATCTCTAACTAGACATTTGCAAAAATGTTTTTATAATGTGAAAAATAGCAATGCTGAATATATATGCCTCTAACATATAATACAAATACTCAGGCTACTTCTATCTTGGCAAATTACATAAGTGTGCCAACTGATCTACTATTCTTATTTTGCTGATAATATTAAAAATGGTGACAACTCCAAATACATATATACAAAATACTGGTTACACCTAAGATGTGTATTTTGAAACATAAAACAGAATGTTTCCAATTGGGTTGATATCAGATTCTCTATTTGGCTAAAATCATTGAGAAGGGCATGTCAGATTCTGAAATAAAGGTTTTAAAATAGCAATTTCTTAAATGACGCAACTCTAATGAAGATATTTATACATGTTTGATCAGCTATTAGATGGCCTGTAATGTGCAGAATGGGAGAATGGTTGGAGCTTTAAGAGGATACGTCTCAGTTCAGATGACTATATTTAGTATTATGTAGATATTGTCTGGAGAGGTCTAAATCCTGCGGGGAGTGTGTCAAGATTGTGTCTTGTATCATCTTCAGCACAAAACATCTCTGTCACAGCTATAAATCAAGAACATTGGAATGAACAACTGGATACTGTAAATACATATGAAAAAAAGCTAATTCATGATCCTCAACAAGCCAAGTAACATCCAGAAACAACCAATGCTCTGTAACAAGGTATTCATATACATTAAAGGGACACTATAGTCACCAGAACAACTACAGCTTATTGCATTTGTTTTGGTGAGTAGAAACATTTCCTTCAAGCAGGGGCGTACTAAGGGTGGGGGTGGCCCGCCCCGGATACCACTGACTAGGGGGGTGCCATGACTGCCAGTGTCATATGTCACCCCCATCACTACAGTGCGTACCGTCACAGCACCTTTGCGGCTGCATCTGTGGCCAGCCCAGCCACACTGACTGACAGGATGGATGAGGAGGGGGAGGAGTGTTGCGGCGTTGCGCAATGTGATGACGTCGTGTTCAGTGCCACCTGTCCGCCACCTTCACGGATATTCAGGAGGAGCAGCGTAAGGGTCCAGGGTTTTTTTTATTACGGGGGTTGCAGGGTTTTTATTATGGGGTGTGCAGGTTTTTTATTAAGGAGGTGCAGGTTTTTTTTTTTATTAAGGTGGGTGTGCAAGGTTTTTTATTAAGGGGAGTTGGCAGAGTTTTTTATTAAGGGGGTGTGCAGGTTTTTTTTTATTAAGGGTGTGTGCAGGGGTTTTTATTAAGGGGGCGTGCAGGGGTTTTTATTAAGGGGGGTGTGCAGGTTTTTTTATTACGGGGGTTGCAGGGTTTTTATTATGGGGTGTGCAGGTTTTTTATTAAGGAGGTGCAGGGTTTTTTATTGCTGTGGGTGTGCAGGGTTTTTTATTAAGGGAGTTGGCAGAGTTTTTATTAAGGTGTGCAGGTTTTTTTATTAAGGGTGTGTGCAGGGGTTTTTAAGGGAGTGTGCAGGGTTTTTTTTTATTAAGGGGGTGTGCAGGGGTTTTTATTAAGGGGGTGTGCAGGTTTTTTTTATTATGTGGGGTGTGCAGAGTTTTTATTATGGGGGTGTGCAGGTTTTTTATTAAGGAGGTGCAGGGTTTTTCTTATTAAGGGGAGTGTGCAGGGCGTTTTTATTAAGGGGGTTGTGCAGGTTTTTTTATTAAGGGGGTGTGCAGGTTTTTGTTTTTTATTAAGTGGGGGTGCAGGGTTTTTATGTGTAGGGAATATATAAAATTTATGTTATGAGGTGCAGGGTTTTTATATGAAGGGGGGTATGAATTTGATGTGTAGGGTGGGTTCAGGGTTTTTATGTGTGGGGGTGCCGAATATTCTTGTGTAGGAGGGGTGCCGGAGTTTTATGGAATAGGGGTGCAGGGTTTTTGTATAAGGGGGAAGGGCAGGGATTTTCTAGAAGGGGGGAGACCAGGGGCTTTTGTAGAAAGGGGCAAGGCAGGCGTTTTCTAGAAGTACCTCACCAGCCCCTTTCTACAAAAGCACTGGTCTTCCCCCTTCTACTAAACTGGCGCCCTTCTACAAAACCTCAACCTATCCGCTCCATCTTTTGAATCCAAATCCCTTTCCTATGTTGTTTCTCTTTTTTCAAGATGTTTGGTATTTATAAATGTATTACGTTTTATAGCGATACAGTTCCTAGAAATGTATTTAACCCCATAAAGGATCAGCTCAATGAAGTGGTCCGGGTAAATTGAAACTGCTATGTTTCACTGAGGGTTAATCCAACCTCTAGTGGCTGTCTCCCTGACAGCCGCTAGAGGCGCTTCCGCGATTCTCACTGTGAAAAACACAGTGAGAAGACGCTGGCCGTCCATAGGAAGCAGTGAGTAATGCTTTCCTATGGGCGGTTTGAATGCGCATGCATGCGCATTCGGATCTGACGTCGGAGAGGTCATTAGCGATGAGGAAGCCTGGCGCTGGAGAAAGGTAAGTGGCTGAAGGGGTTTTAACCCCTTCAGCCCAGCGAGAGGGGGGCCCTGAGGGTGGGGTGGACCTAATGACCCAAGAGTGCCAGTAAAACGAGTTTGTTTCCTGGCACTATAGTGCTCCTTTAACGCCTTTATGGCGTACTGTGCCGCCCCGGAAAATTAGAACTTTAACCACATTAGAGTGGCATAGTACGCACTAATGACCAAGTCCTGTAGGGAGCTCAGATACTTACCTTCTGCAAGGATCCCTATGGGGGACTGTCCGACAACACAAGGGGTCCCCCTCCGGCAAACCTGGATCAGTAGTTTAAATCACTGCCTGCAGGGGAACCCACCTGGGTTTTCAGGCAGACCCTAAACTCTTAAAATAATAATGAAAAATAAAGCTTAATTAGAACTAAATAATAAATAAATATGATATATATCTATTATTTGCTTTATACTGCTGTACTCGTGGGACATCGCTGAACACAAATATGAGTGTTTTGAAAACAGTAAACCGTGTAATTTTGATATCAGTGAAAGTGCAGTTTTTATGAGAATGCAAAAATAAATAGATGTGAACACTAAGTCTGCCCACGGTTTGTGACTACTAAAAAATACTGAGAAAACAAGGGGTTGGCTGCACTCACCTGAACATGCTTAAATGGAGTGCTGCTGGGGGCCAATAAGTACAGTAAAAATGAAAATCCAGTGCACTCCCTTATCTACTAAACAGCTACTTTGGTGCTGACCAATTTTGTACATTTTATTAAAAACACCTATTTTAGACAAAAAATTATGGGGGTTTAGTTACATTATATGATCATACATTGCATAAGCCTGCCACAACGTCAATGTACCCCATCTTTCTCATTATATGATCATATAATGTAACTAAATCCCCATTATTTTTGTCAAGATTAGGTGTTTTTAATAAAACGTACAAAATTAGTCAGCACCAAAGTAGCTGTTTAGTAGATAAGGGAGTGCGCTGGACTTTCATTTTTACTGTACGAAAAAATACTGGACATACCCAATTTTAAATACCATGGTTTGTCCACTTTTACAAATGGTATGCAAAGATGGGAAATATAAGACAGATATCGCACTAACGAACCCTGGAACCAAAATAAATTTAGATTTCTTGCAGAAAACACCAATTCTAAGCGAAATCGACCAAGCGGGTCTCAGCAACAAAAATTAAGAAGGCAAGAGAAAAGTCAGCTGAGGCGATATCTGGATCAATTTTAAAATATGTTGCACCTTCAACATCTACCACAGTAGGAGAAATTGTTGAATCCAGAGGTGAAATGCCTGAAACATCTTCTCAAGAAGCCTCATATGTGAAAGCGCAATAATTGGAGAAAATCATTTTATCTTCAAGCGGTGAAAGTGATGTCGACGAAGGAGATGCCAGCAGAAGCCTGCATCAACAAGACTCTGATAAAGATGATGATGAAGAAGAAGAAGAGGAGACTGTTCGACTGTCAGTTTATTCTGATATTGCTGCTTGGCCAGTTCCAGATGTTTTAAGAGTGGATCTTATTAAGAGGGGAAGTGAACCTTTCCAAAATAGAGATGGGCCATTCAGTCCTGTTGAAAGGCAAAAGGGAAGAGTCGACAGCTGACCACTGCATGGCTCTATAAGGCTCTGCCTAATGGCGAAAGAATTCTTAGAACGTGGATGGTGTACTCTGGTTTTTGCTTCAGACTTTTTGCTGTTGATGACAAAATAACAGGGGCATCCAATTTTCTTAGTGGGTTTCAATTGTACTGGAAGCTGAACCCAAAGATGTCTGATCCCGAGGCTTCTGAGCAGCATCTTACATGCTTGGAGAAATGGAAGACCTTGAGAGCAGAATTGAAGCTACAAAAATGCCTTTATCATGTTCATCAAACAACAGTGGACAGAGAGAAAAGGAAATTGAGGGATATTTTGCATCATCTCTTGGATGTAACTTTGTTTCTGGCTCACCAGAATCTTTCCTTTCGTGGTCATAGAGAGACCATGTCATCCGCAAACAAAGGCAACTTCTTCGAATTTGTAGAATTGCTCTCAAACTATGATCCCATTTTAAAGGAACATTTCATGAGGCTGAAACATGTTGCATCTGGAAAGAGAATGACTTCCTATTTCTCTTCAAAAATTCAGAACACATTAATTTGTCTTTTGGGAAATAATGTGAAGGACAAAATAGTGTCTTATCAAGAAAGTAAAGTACTTTGGGATTCTTTTTGACAGCACCCCTGATGTGTCCCACACTGGTCAGATGTGTGAAGTGATCAGATATGTTCATATTGAAGGGGACCATGTTGAAGTAAAGGAATCATTCTTGGGCTTCTTTCCTGTTGCTGAAAAGACTGCTGCTGAGCTCACAGAAAATATCCTGTACCAGCTGCAGGAAGATGGACTAGATATAAGCCTTTGCCGTGGTCAAGGATATGATAATGCTGCAACTATGGCAGGGATTCATGGAGGTGTTCAGGCAAAAATAAAAGAGATTAATCCCAAAGCTTTGTTTATGCCATGTGCAAACCATTCTCTGAACCTCTGTGGGGATCACTCATTTGGAAGTGTTGCTTCCTGTGTGACCTTTTTTGGAACATTGGAGAGTGTATTCCTTTTTTTCAGTTTCTACACCTCGTTGGGAATTTCTGATGGAGAATTTAGGTGTGACAGTGAAAAGACTTTCCAAAACAAGATGGAGCGCTCATTATGATGCTGTGAAGCCAGTGAGGGCAAATTTTGAAAAACTGTCTTCAGCCCTTGAAAAACTGTAATCCCAAAGAAAATGTGGACACAAGAGGATCGGCTCAGATGATGCTGTCTGCTGTATGTGATTTTGTTTTTTGTGTTACCTTTCTTTCTGGTGTGAAGTTCTAGAAGAAGTTAATATCACACAGAAGTATTTCCAAACAGTGGGACTCACTCTTGAAAAGTGCATTGTGAAACTACAAGGTCTGAAAGTGTTTCTTGCAGATCAGCGCATTGAAATTGTGGAAAAGGCCATTTGTCATGCAACTACTATGTGTAAGGAAATGGACATTTCTATGGAAAGAAGAGGGAGAGTAAAGCTCCGGAAAACAATGCCTAGAGAGAAGGCAAAGGATGCTGGTCTCACATTGCCAGAGGAAATGAAAAGGGCTATGTTTGAGTGCCTTGACCGTTTTCATCATGAGTTGGAAATTAGTTCGCAGGCAATTGAAAAAATACTTTCAATGTTTGCTATTATTCAGCCAAATGCTCTGGTTGTGGCAACAGAGAAAGATATTCGTAATTATACTCCAAAATCGACTGAGATTTTTGATGAATTCTCTAATGAAGATATCTCTAGGGAAAGTGAACGTCTTTTGGAAGCTGCCAAGATCAGTGTTGAAGAAGCAAAGAAATGGACGGCATTGCAGTTCCTGGAATTCATTGTTAAATGGGATTATTGTGAATCTCTACCAAATGTGTCACTGTGTTTAAGATTATTTTTGACTCTCTGTGTGTCTATTTCTTCATGTGAAAGAAGTTTTCCCAAATTAATTTTTTTATTTTTTTTATTTCGCTCAACCATGAGTGAGACAAGGTTGACAAATCTGGCAATACTTTCAATTGAGCATGAATATGCAAGGAAGAATGGCTTTGATGAAGTAATCGATAAATTTGCAGAAATGAAGGCTCGAAGGCAGAGGATGTGAATCATTTCAAATTACCTCTGCCGAATAGACTGAATGGTCACTTTGGATCACAGTATTAGCTGTTAAGAAAATGTTAATAATTTAAAGCTAATTTATTTCTAAGTTAATATTATTTTTCATAGTTCCATTTTTTTCAAGTTGATCTACAGTTTACAAATTTGTGTAATAAATATTATTGCAAACATTGAAAAAAATTTGTAGGTGTTTTCTTACATTTTTATTAATGGGACAAACTCAGGGTCCGCCCCGGGTGCCAAATGCTCTAGGTACGCCCCTGCCTTCAGGCTTTTTGCAGTAAACACTGTCTTTGCAGAGAAAATGCAGTGTTTACAGTACAGCCAGTGGCGTACATACCACGGTCGCAGGGGTCACAGCTGCGAACGGGCCCGGCACTCCAGGGGGGCTGGTCATCCTGTGGACCCCTGCGACCGGGTACCCGCCATTACCATTTGCGGCCCCAGCCCGAGCGTCAATCCACTGGGGCCGCCATCCAAGGGGGCCATCGGGTGGCCCATGCTGTCATGGCCACCCGATGGATATGGATTGTAAGGGGGCCCGGTCAGCGCTGGGCACTTTAACAGAGCGACCGGGTCCCCTGTAATTACATCATAGAGCTGGGAGGAAGTGACCGCACTTCACTCCTCCCAGCTAAAACACAGACCGTGCGGGAGGAAGGAGGAGAAAGTCAGAGTAGGTACTCTGACTCCCATCAACCTGAGCCACCACTGGACCCCAGGGAATGTCACCCTCCTGCACCTAAAAGGTAGGAAACAGGAGGTTGTCTAAAATATTTTGTTTGTGTGTGTGTGTTTGTTTGCATGTCTTGTGTGTGTATCTGTCTGTATGTCTTGTTTGTGTGTCTGTATGTATGTGTGTATGTGTCTTTGTATGTATGTGTTGTGTGTGTCTGTATGTATGTGCGTATGTGTCTTTGCATGTATGTGTGTCTTATGTATGTGTCTTTGAATGTGTCTGTATGTATGTGTGCATGTCTGTATATGTGTGTGTGCCTGTCTGTGTGTGTCTGTCTGTATGAGTGCCTGTCTGTTTGTATGTGTGTGTGTGTGCCTGTCTGTGTGTATGTGTGCCTGTCTGTTTGAATGTATGTGTCTTTGAATGTATGTGTGTCTTGTGTGTGTGTGTGTGTGTCTGTATGTGTGTATGTGTGGCTTTCTGTTTGTATGTATGTGTGTGTGCCTGTCTGTGCCTGTGTGTGTGTCAGTCTGTATGTATGTATGTATGTGTCTGTGTGTGCCGGTCTGTATGTATGTATGTGTGCCTGTCTGTCTGTATGTGTGTATGTGTCTGTATGTATATGTCTGTCTGTGTCTATGTGTGTGTATGTATGTATGTATGTGTGTCTGTCAAGGGGTGGAGGGGGGGGGGAGAAGGAGGGGGGTGCCCACGGATCAGTTTCACACCGGGGCCCCATGGATTGTGTGTACGCCACTGATTTCAGCCTAGTGATAACTTCACTGGCCACTGCTCAGATGGCTGCTAGTGATCCTTCCTGGGTCATTGTTGCCTAAAATGCATCACAACAGTCAGTGTCTCCGCCCTCTGCATGCAGACACTGAACTTTCCTCATAGAGATGCATTGATTCAATTAATCTCAATGAGGAGATGCTGATTGGTCAGGGCTGTGTTTGAATTGTGCTGGCTCTGCCCCTGATCTGCCTCCTTGACAGTGTCAGCCAATCCTATGGTGAAGCATTGTGATTGGCTCAGGCCACCACTTGTGATGATGTCAGCAGACAGGGGCACGTCAGAGCCAGAGCTAGCAGCTCCAGGCTTGAATACAAGTAAGATTTTACTATATTTAGAGAGGAAAGAGGAGCAGGGTTATGAGAATTAAGAAAGTTCATCTGTAATTGTTTGTTGATTGTAGCTTGATAATATGTTATATGACTGATTTGCCTGCTTTGCTGACATCAGAGAAGCAGTGATCAAGCTAATCACAATGTATTCCCATAGGAAAGCATTGGATTGGCTAAGCATGTCAAGGAGGCAGATCAGGGACTGATCCAGCATATGCCAAACACAGCCCTGCCCAATCAGCATCTCCTCATATAGATTAATTGAACTGCTGCCTGGGAGCATCTCTTTGAGGAAAGTTCAGTGTCTCCATGCAGAGGGTGGAGACACTGAATGGCAGTGCTGCACAGTGCATCACTGTCCCAGGAAGCACCTCTAGCAGCCATCTGAGGAGTGGTCAGTAGAGTTATAACTAGGCTGTAATGTAAAAACTGCCTTTTCTCTGACAATACAGTGTTTACTACAAAAAGCCTGAGGGCAATGATGATACTCACAAGAACAAATGCAATAAGCCATAGTTGTTCTGGTGGCTATAGTGTCTCTTTAAATCTGTACTGGCAAATGTCAGAACAAATGGACAAAAGTAGCTATTAACCATCAAGAAAAGGAACTGCAATATGTTGTACATGTGATATAGAATACGAAGTAAAATAGCCCACAACTAATGCAGCAGTGGAAGGCCAAAGACCGAGAGACAAGGTGTAATTTTATCATTGATGCCATTAAGTGGCCATTTATGGAATTGCATGTCAAGTAACAATTAAAATCAGAGTGGTTCAAGAGGGCATTGCCACCTTGGCCATTTCAAGCTCTCCATTTCATCCAATTCAATGCAGACTCAGATCTTATACAAGAGATACAGGTGGGTAACCAATGAAACAAGGAATGCTGATTTTGCTGGATATTACCATGATTAATATTTTAGTATTTATTTGCAATGCTTGTAGTCAGAGAGTTCAAACATGTTTATTTATAATTTGGGATGCAAATAACCCTTTATGAGGTTCCCAACAAAGGAATTCAATAAGGTGAAAATGTCTTGAGAATTTTAAGGTGTACATAACAAGCTTTGCAGATACACTACTGAACCTGACCAAGTCAGCTTTAGATCTTGCATGAAAAATGTAGGTATGTAACCAAGGAAACAAGGGATACTGGTATTCTGACTAATTCAATGACTATTGACTAAAACTTAAGTAATTATTAGTAATAACACAAAACAAGCACATTCGTTTACTATGTGTACATATAAATATAGATTAAACATGAGCAATTGTCTGAAAATCTTTGAGTTCTTAATGTACCTTAACAGATTAAAAGCTTTTGGTTTGACTCACAATGGGACAAAAATCCCAAGGATCCAAAGTAAAAGCATACTGTTAAATAATAATCTTGAAATAATTCACTTAGGTATTTACTCATTTATATATATTTGTTCAAACCAGAAAAGGATATTCACCGCAGAAAGGGGTATTTTTGAGGGGTGAGATAAAGCTTTGAATCTAAAAAAAAACAACCAAAATTATTTAAATTATTGATTGATGCTAAAGAAGTGAAAAAAAAACAACAGTCCTTGAGAGATAGTATGGTGTAATCTCTGTATCAGGGTTGGTGTCCTGCATGAATGCGTGGGAACAGTGTTCCTGCACTTTTTACACAGCAGAAATGCTGTTCCTGTTAGTAGTCCTGCAGGACAGAGGCGGCTCTCTAATTAGGCAATTTAGGCGGCCTTATGCTGATTGGGGCCTTGCAGCCACCTAAATTGCCTTAGGGCAGTGTGACATGTCGGGTACTCAGTCAGAGAACGAGGGCCCGACACAGGAGGGGGCCCGGCGGCTTGCCCTTTATGCTGCCGGGTGTGAGGCCCCTCCACATTGCCTGTCCTCAGGGAAAGCCAGCCTCAGTCTGCAACATGAGTGTGGTCCAGATGATCAATCGTTCCACGTCTGCGTCCCCTCCGGTTTTGGCATTGACCAGGCATCTAGTGCTACTTAGTTTAAAAAGTAATCTGTGGTTGGTAGCCAGTAGGGTGGACAATGTCATTGCTGACTCTCTTTCTCGGTTTCAGTGGGACCGGTTTTGGGAGGCGGCTCCTCAGGCGTCGCAGATGGGAACCCGGTGCCCGCCTTATTTGTGGAACCTGGTTTCAGACATCTGAGATGCTTGATACGAGGGACCTTATCGGAGTCTTTGTGGAAAGCTTATACTGCTGTATGGTGCCATTGGTGGGCCACGGATAGGGGCCGTGATGCTTCATCAGAGTCCGGTAGATTGTCCATTACGCTGGCCTTATTGGAGTCGTTGTGTTCTGCAGGTAGGTCTGCCACGTCAACCGAACAGTGCTTGTCTGCTCTCTCTTTTTTGTTTCGTTTTGTAGGATGGTCAGATGTCACTAAGGCGTTTTAAAAGGGTGGAAAAAGGGAAATGCCCCCGACAAGCTGCAACCTATTTCAGGGGCTCTGCTGCTGCAGTTGTTGGAAGTCCTGCCGGAGGTTTGTAGCTCTGATTATGAGGTTCTTTTATTTTGGGTAGCGTTTTCGTTACATCTCGGTATCCTCTCGGGGTGTGCTACTGGTGATTTGACGTTCAAAGAAGGATCAGGTAGCTATGGGAGCACGGGTATGGATCGGCCCTACGGGGGGGGGGTTTGTTTTGTCGGGGGGACTTGTTGCAGGAATATTTAGTCGCCAGGAGTGGAGCCGAAGGCTCGCTGCTGGTCCATCGGAATGGGTCATCCTTGTGTAGATTTCAATTTTCTAGCGTACTGCAGAGGTGTATTGTCAGGTCGGGGGGAGACCCTAGTCTCTATTCCACTTAATCGTTTTGTATTGGAGCGGTGACCCAGGCCAGCGCGTTGGGACTCGTGGCGAGGCACTTAAGCGGCTGGGGCAATGGGAATCGTGTCGCTTTCAGCTTTATGTGCGGCTGCATTTACTGTGATATTATGTATTTGGATAATTGCAATGTTTAACTTCTGTTCTTTGTTTTCGTAGGCCCTGTTCCCCGTTATGTGTGGATTCTGGGGCATTCATATGTATACTGGGCAGCTAGGAGGGCGGAAGAGAGAGCCCATGGTCGTAATTTGGGGTTACGTTAGGATCAGATGTACAGGGAGTGCGAGCAGCTGAGTCGCTGCGTGTCTGGGCCAGTTACTTTAATATTGCATGCGGGTGGCAATGATGTCA